GAGGGGTCATATGAGCAGAGGCACCTGATTCAGGATACCACACAACAACATTTGTCTCACCCGAGGGAATAGCTGCCAGAGCAGGCATAGAAGATCCAGTGAACCGAGAGCATGTAAGAGTAGAATGACCCGGCGAGAAACAAATTTGGCAAACAACTGGATGTGGGAGATTGGGGAAATTATTGTCCACATATGGAAAACCTGGACTAACACAATGAGTACCACAAGAAGATGCATGATTAAAGTATGAATAACCAGACGAAAAATTACTTAAATGTGCACCTGAATTTCAAGACTGAGATGACCCACGTGGAGGTCCAAATTGCTGTTGTCCATAGGAATGGTGCTGGTCGTGAACAGGAGCATGCAAATGTGGCTGAAAATTGGGACCATACTGATAGGGAAAATTACCAAACTGATTTGGAAAATTTCCACCAAAACCATGGCCCCGTCCACCTCGCTGGCCACGCCCTCGGCCACCTCATTGGCCGCGATTTCCGTGCTGCCCACCACCTTGGCCGCGTGCACCCCCTCGGTCCGCAGGTCCGCCACGGGCAATGAACGCCTGATGAGCAGATGTAAGTTTTTGGGAGCGGATGTAAATGATCCGATGTTCTTGTGCAAGTAAAATAGGGCGGAGGGTTTCAAGTGTGGCATCGCCGGGAAAATAGGACACCACCGTAATTAAGGACTCATATTCAGGACCAAGACCCGAGATGGTGGATTCAATTAAATCCTTGTTACTAACTGAAGAATTAATCAAATTTAAGGAATCCGCCATAACCTTAATTTCCAACAAATATTGGTCCATGGTTTGATTTTCTTTCTTCTTAACATGCGAAAGAAGTCATTTAAGCTTCATGGAGCGAGCCAAACAAGCCGACATAAAACGGTTCCGGAGACATTCCCAAACACTAGCCGAACCCTTGAGGTCATGGACCTCCATGAGAATATCTCGAGATAAAGTAGCAAAAATCCATGATCGAATAGTTTGATCAATTTTTAACCAATGATGATACTCCGGATTAGGAACCTCCCTTTGAAAATTAGCAAGAATAAATGGAGGCGGTGCCAAGACGGAACCATCTAGAATCCCAAATAGATTATGAGAAACTAGAAAAATTTCTAATTGGGTACGCCACGGGAGAAAATCCTCAACGGCATTCAAGCGAGTGGTTACAATATTGGTCACATTAGGCGTAGAAAACGCTAAATGTGACGCCAATGAAGCCAAGAGAGTGGAATTATTAGAAGAACCTGACGATGTAGGAGTTGCTGTCGGCGGAAAAGAAACCACACTGGTGGATGGCCCTGCATAGGTCGAAGGATCTGTGGAAAAAGAAACTGCAGTTGACGAAGCGAATTGCGCAGCCGTGGAGGGCGCAACATAACCAGTGGAGCTCCATGTAAACGGTTCGGGCATGTTAAACAAGCGATATGAATTCAGCGGCGGCGGCATATGGGAACCTCACTGGCGAGAAGCGGAAAAGGGCGCTGGAGAGGAGACTGACGAAGGCTGCAACGTAGATATGGGCGCCATAACCGTTGTACCGGGCGCCAGAGAAAGAGCAGGCGTGGCTGAGGTTGCCGCTGCGGCTGCGGAGGAGGAAGCCATGACGGAGGCACTGTGGCTTTGACGTGATAGTAGGGTTATGAAAAAAAGCTAGGGAAACCTAGATATCTGATACCATATGAAATAATAATTGGGAAATAATGGCCCACCCTAATAGGGTGTCGTGCTCTGTATTTATAATAATCAAAGAATAGTAAAATTACAAAAGTGTCCTCTATTATCTATTATTACAAACCCCCATTTGCACCCAATAACATGTTTTTCATGTGGTAGAGGAGTATGAGACCAAGTGTTATTGGAAATTAAAGCATCATATTCTGATCGGAAATTAAAGCATCATATTCTGATTGTATAGATTTATACTGGCCAGGTGAACTGAGTGCTTGCTTGAGTGAAGTTGGCTCAATATGAGGTAAGAGCAAGGCGGAATTAAGGGATTGCATAGATTGATACCAGTCAGGACCGCCTGACGGGAACTTCTGTACGGTCAAAGCCATTTGGGTTCCTTCTTGGTGATTTTTTGATGAATTTTAGCATGTTCTTCATGAAGTGTAATTAAAAAATTTCAGTTTAAAATTCAACCAGGAAGACAATTAAAAAATTATTGAAACATGTGTATAAAAAACACAATATGTTTCAATAATTGTTTTGCGTTGAAATTTGGTGGACATAATAATTTACACTTAATGAAAAACATCTCAAAAAAATTCATAAACAAATTTCATCGGGAAGAGCCCCAAATGGCCTCCTCCGTACGGGGTTTCAGTATGGGCCACCTCAAGAGATCAATTGTCTTTTTCAGATTATGGAAAGATGTTACAAAAATCATACAAAAATGATGTTTGTACCCACCCTTATACCCATTTTTATACCCACCATATTTGTAAAAGTTTTTTTTATCTGTGCAAATTTGTTTGGGTATAAGGTTGAGTACAACCACAATGGTTGAAACCATATTGCCATTAGTCCATCACTATGGTGAAATGATTGCGCCATTTTCTGTCTAGAATTTGACTTGATACTTTCTCAAATCAGGTTAGTAATAATTCATTAATTTTTTGCAACAACTTTTTTGTGTTAATTATTTTGAAGAAAATAACTAATTTTTTGAAACCAGTTAAAGGAGAGTTAGACAAAATCGAATTATACATTTATCCGTTAAAATAAATACAAATATATAACTAAAAATACTTCTCTGTGGTCTTCTCCCTAACTTTCGTCTAGGGTTTTGTTTTTCCGGCAAGCGGCTTGCGCCGTTTCTTTGTCCGACGAATGATTTGGAGCGACACTGGGAGGGCGGTCGTCAGTGGCGGATCTAGGCATCGGAGCTCAGTGTATGCACATAAATAAAACTAATAGTATATTACATGAATTAAAAAAAAGGCTAAGTAAAATGTATAGATATAGTAAAAGAAAAGATACCTTTTATAGTTGTCCTCGTCGTGCTTGCATATTTTGAAAGTGCTGAATAATTAACTCATCATCAATGCTATCAAACACATCACTTTCTATATAAGTAACTAAACAATCATTCATCCAATCATCTCCCATCCGATTTCGCAACTCGGTCCTCGCAATTTTCATCGCTGAAAAGGCTCTTTCAACCTTGGCGGTAGCAACAGGTAATGTCAATGCCAACTTCAGAAGTAAATAAACTAACTTATAAACACGATGTTTTCCCGTCTTCACCAACATCTCCACAAGGCAAGCAATTCCTTTCAAGTCTGAAAATTCATCATTACTGCGCATATCAATAATATAAGTCTCCAATTGATTTTCAAGAACTACCAACTCCAAACTAGAGAAATCACTTGGATAAAAGTTAGCGAACTCAATCAACCAAGCTTGGAAAAATAAATAATAGATTGATTGTTTCATTGTTAATAATAATAATAATAATTTCGAAAATTAAATAAATTATAACCATAACTAGTAACTACTGAGTTTTAATGTTAGAGAAATAATACTAAGCTTTAATGTTAGAGAAATAAAAAAAACTGAAAAATAGCAAAGGTCTGAAGAGGAGTTCATACCCATTTGCGGCTGAGAAGATACGTACCTAAGAGGAGCAGATTTTGATTTTTGAGAATAGGGTTTAGGGATTTCAAATGGGTGTAAATGACAGCTGTTTTGATTAAAATTATTAGTTACAACGGGTCCAGTCAACCAAAAAAAAAAGGCCCTTTCACATGACCCATATATGCTACCTGAGAAGTTAAAAAAAAAATTGGGTGTAGCCTTAGGGGGATTCAAACCTTTGACCTGTAGTCTAATGAAGCATCTAATTTTTTTGCTACTATCACTTAGGCTAATGAAACTTTTTGAAGTGAAGCGTGTGCTTACCCTCATTATACCGTAGGTCCGTCCTTGGCGGCCGTTACCACGCTCTTCCTGTTCGTGGCTGCTTCTCTATGGTTTATGCTTCTGGACGTGCTGATATGGATCGAATCTGGAGGTATGTGATTGATACCTTCGATTTGAAAATCGCTTGGTCAATTCCGCTCAGCTTGACTTTCGGGGGGGGGGGGGGGGGGGGGGGTTGAGACTATGTTAGGCGCAAGAGACAAATGGATGGAGCGACTGGATTGAGTCTTGTTTGGATGGATTTTACATCGGGGTTGAGGCGATTGCGAGTGCTCAAATGAGTCAATTTTTGGAATGAGTCCTGAGCGGCTTGGAGCGATCGAGGTGCTAGAGTTTGGAAGATGATACTTCAAGAATATTGGCAGGAAGGAATTTGGAGTATTTATCAGTTATTTTATTTTTTATGGTCTTACTTTTGCGTTATGTTTGTTTATGTTTCTCTTTTTTGTTGATGTCTTTAACTTTAGGTCTTCAATAATAATTAACAATTCCGCTAGATATTATGTCGCCAGAAAGATTTATATGACCATGATCAGTGATTGTTGTGTCACACCCGTTTTGTGATTAACGATTAACGATTCATATTATTCTTTTATGGGTGATAGTGCTAGTTGGTTAGAAATAATTATTAGAGGTGTTGGTTTCTTTGAGTTTGTTGAAACAATCTGAATCATAATAATATTAATATAAATGTTTTTTGCTTTAAAAAAAACTAAAAATAAAAACATTGGAAAAAATATGACTATATAAATAATTATTACGTACGAAGTATCATAATAATACTACGTAACTTTTTACTCCCTCCGGTTCTGAAAGATCTTTACACTTTCCATTTTTAGCAGTACCAGAAAGATCTTTACACTTCCTTATTTGCCTTATTTGGCAAATAAATCTACACAAAATAGTACTAAATAGTGTCAAACAGTGTCAAACAGTATTTATTTCCTTAAAAATTTTGAAGTCAAAATGTCAAGATCTTTTGAAACGAGTAATTTAAGTTCTATATTTACGGTCCATGAAGCAATAGGACGTATATTTTAGAATGGACCTGTAGTTTTGGGTGGGCTACCTTCGTTAATTAATACCGAGTATATATTCAGTTGCTCACTAAAATGAACATCGCATTCAGACACACTAGCTGCTTCGAATATCCAGCACAAAAATTATAACCGGAAAGCGTCTCACCGGAAAATTCCTAAGATGTCGTGGCAAACATATGTCGACGACCACTTGATGTGCGTCATTGAAAACAACCAACTACAATCTGCCGCTATCATCGGTCACAACGGTTCCGTCTGGGCCCAGAGCGACAAGTTTCCACAGGTCTTTTACCCCGTTTAATGAAAGCTGGTTTAAATATCTATGGTGGTTACAGATCTTATTAGATCGGAACTTATACGCTGATTGGTTTGAAACTCCGATCCTTGATTGCATATTGTTGAGCCCTAAGAATTTGTCTTTTTTTTTTTGTTTTGTTTTTGATCGAATGGAAGGATCAAGTCGTTTGGTTCAAGTGTTTGTCTCCTGGAAATTGCTACAAGATTTTTTATTTGTATTAAGGATTTTCCTTCTTGTTCTGAATCTTTTATTGCGATTATAGTTACTGGATGGTCCGGATCCCAGGTTAATGATCGGTAAGAAATTGTTGGTTTACAAATTTGAGGGTTTCTTAAATTTGATTTGAAATATTTCCTTAATGTTTACTCTGGTATTTCATAATTGAGTACCTCTATTGATCTAGATTATTAGATCGCTTTGAGAAAGGTCAAACCCTTATACTTTGAAACTCTTGTAGCCAAGACATTTTGATTAGTTTCTAGTATTAAAGCTCCTAATCTTCGTACAAAGTACAAATTATATTTCATATGGACTGTCTTCTTGTTCTTGTTTTTATTGTTTTTCTCTATTTTTTGTTTTATGTTAACAGGCAGACAACAAGCACAACGCTGTCTTCATAATCTTTTCTCCTTATTTCTATTTTGTGTTCTATTTTAACAAATACAAATTGGTATAATTCTCCAAATCAAATTGAATGGTTTTAAATTTATAAATTATAAGGTTTGAATTTTAATTTCTTTTCTTCTTCTTCTTCTTCTTCTTTTTATGCATGTATGACCAATATATGTTTGTGTGGCCTGCTAAAACAAGTTCTTAAGGTTAATTATGGTTCTTATACTGAAATCAAGACAGGGTCATACTTACTTCATCGCAGTTAGGGAATTCTCAAGGTTGGATTCTAACTTCTAATTTAACCATTAGCTTGCCCAATCCACTATATTTTAAAATCTTTTAACATCACAAATTCTGATTTTTTTATTTTTCTTTTATAAAAAAAGTTTTTATTTCTCACTTGTTCTTCATTTTTTTCGCTATCATTGGCTGATGGTAATTCTGTCATTTCCAATGGAGCCATAGAGACTCACTATTTGTTGGCTTGGGAATATGATGAGATAAACCAAATGACTCACTAAATTGTTTGTGTTTCTTTGTTATGAAGCAACAGTTAGTCCATGCAATTTTTTGTGTGATTTTCATCATGAGTCAGTTAGAAACGGTCTTTGGGCATTAGTATAGGGTGAAGGATGGGTATATTCGACCCCCCTTACCCACCATACGTGGATGATATGTTCCTAAGCTGGAGACAGTAATAATATTAGTAATAGAATGATACTCTGTATTAAATAATTGTGGTACTGTAAGAAAGGGTTCTGATCCATGTAAGTCATGGGTTTGGGCCGGCCCTTTAGAATAGAATTAGTATAAGAGTGAGAGGAAGGAAAGAAGGAGGTAGGCAGAATTTCAGTTGGAATAAGGTTGAGAGAGTGAGGCCTCTCGAAGAGTCACGACCTGTTCTTCTTGTACGCTGGTTTATGGCGTCCTCTATTGTCCCTTGCTTAAGGAATTTTCTGAGCTAATCTCTAAATTCCATACTTAATATACATAAATTCTCTATTGCGTATCTGGATTTTGGGGTTCTCTATCACTGGGAGCCTTTGCGATACTGGGGTAATGTTGTTGTTGTTGTCATTGGCTGCTGGTGGGGCAATGCTACTTGTGCTTTGTAAAAGTTTTTTACTCGTATCTTTTCTCTTAAGAAGAGTTGTTAGTTTGTCACTCGTACTTTCACTTTATTATTTATTATGCTCCTTAGGGTATAAAATAATTATGTACGTAGAATAAATTTCTAAATTACATTCTAAGAGTCAGAGTTTAATGGAAAACTAAAAGTTTTTATCCATGGACTTCTTTTTTATGAGAATGACAAGAAGAAAATATTGGGCTCTATAATGATCATAGTGAATATGTTGATGATATAAATTTGTATGAGAAAAGAAGCTCTTTTGACATGGACGGTGATGAGTATGACCACTGGCACTTAATGAAGTGATGGCGTAATGACTAGTTTAAGTAGTTTTGTTTATAATTTTCATTAAATATGTTTCATTTTCTTTTTTTTAAGAGTATCCCTTTTTGTGAGAAAGTTTTGCTTCGTTTAGCGCTTTCTCATATAAGCAAATTGTGGATCAAATTTGGTAAAATTAAAAGATTTTAGATAAACTGTGTATGGCCTGTATAGAAGGAAGCCCTTTAATTTTTTTTATAACAGGTTCTCTTGAACATCTAGTGAAAATTTCGTCCCTATAATAAAAAGGGAAAGGGCAACTCAACGTATTGAGTCAACTTTTATTTGATGTATTGTTTCATCGAGTTTCAATTCAAATTACGATGGCATTTTCTTGTTCCTGCATGAATTGGCCAGTTGGCTACCTTGAAATCAAACCCAAAATGGAGTGCTTTAAAACATAATAACATAATCTATCATTTTATTCTCATTCCGCAGACTTTCCTACCAATCACTTTTAAGTTGCAATAAGTTTAAAAGAAGTGTGAAGTTTTCGAAGGACTGAGGGATTATAGTTTACCAGAAATTTAAGCTGTTTTACTATCCTGGAAAATGCATAGATCATTTTTAATGCGTTACTACTTGGCATAAGCCAATTTTATGTGAGGTTTATTATTTTTGTGTAGGTTTAAAATTGTCTAGAATTCCATCATCATTTCAAATAATTTAAATGCATGACTATAATTTGGAAAACTATTGCTAAGGTTTGGTAACTTTGGTACATCCAGAATGGGTGAAAGATGAGATGAATGATTTCTTAAATGTATATATAAAGTCATGGAGGTATTTCCATGTAAGTATGTACCAAGTACTAGAGTAAGGAAATGGCATCAAGTTCACTCGATAGTTGACTATATACATGTTTTTTGTTACAATGTGTAGGTTACTATTTGCCCTCGTATTCTAGGTAAACCTAAGTTATGGATATTATGAGTTGCTAGCTAATGTGATTAAGATGATCTTGAATTGGCTACATGTGTTTTTTCTTCAAGTTAAATAATTTGTTGTTTTCTAGTATAGCGCACTTAATTTGTACGGGTATTTCACATGCCTTACTGTTGCCGAAGTGGCGAACTGTTATCAATCACTTCCGTGGTTTATATCGACAGTTCAAACTAGAAGAAATTACTGCCATCATGAATGATTTTAAAGAACCTGGCTCTCTTGCTCCAAATGGATTGTACCTAGGTGGCTCAAAATATATGGTGATTCAAGGTGAGCCACAAGCTGTTATTCGAGGAAAAAAGGTATGATCTCAATCCTATATTCTATTTGTAGTAGCAAATTGGAATATAAAAGCTACTAAACTAACAATGAAATGTGGACACCAGAAAATTTGTTTTTGGTTTCTGAATAAATCACCAAGCCACTGTGATGCAAAGTGGCGGATGCATGACCCAGTTTCATTTGGGGGATCTTGAGAGTTAGAGTATATCTGCTTATGATGTAACCAGCATGCCATCTGACCAAACTCCATTAACAAGCGCCCACCCGATAAAAAAGATTTTGTATAAATAGTGATTTATCATTGTCTATTATTTAGGTCTACGTATTTGGGAATTGACCGGATTTTTGATTGACTCGCGTAAATTAAAGTCTGAGTTAATACTTATATCTGACCGCTACTAGAGTGTAGACATCCTCAACATATTAACTCTTTTTAAGAGTAAAGTTTGTAGGGATAATGATTAGTGTACCAGAAGTGGAAAATCACTAGAGAAAAGAAGAAAACATAAGAAAAATTGGTGAGTACAGATGAAAAAGTAAATGCGAAGTGGAACAAGTATTAAGAACTCTAAGGAGAAAGTGGAGCAACTTTTCAGATAGAGAGAGTAGTCAACTAGTTATTATATGTTAGTGTGTTACCATTATTCAATTACTTAATTATTAGCTTGCTAAACTTTTTTATTTAGTTACCATTATTGAGAAATGATAGCTAAATAAAAAGTTTAGCAAGCTAATAATTATCTTTATTGCTAGAGGTATGATATAATAACATGGTTCTAAAAATTGGCCAAGGCACCTGCCTAGTTGCTAGGCAAGCTATGCGGCACTAAATCTTTTCCTGATCCAATTTATTATCTTCGTTTTATCTTAAAACATCGTTATAAGATTAAAGTCTAAGTTATAGCAGTCACATAAAATTTCTTTTCTCTAGTGTTTTTCCACTTTTGCATGAACATCGTTTTTTTCATCATTTGCAATGGAGCCTAAGATTCACTATTTTTTGGTTTGAGAATATGATGGAATAAAGCAAAATTACTCACTAAACTGTTTGCGCTTCTCTATTATGAAGCAGCGGTCAGTTCATGGAAACCGTCTCTCCCCCCTTTAGTACAGGGGCAAGGCTGTGTACACCCGACCCCCTTACCCCACCATAGGTGGGAGCCTTTGGGGCGTTGGGGTAATGATGATGATGATATCTTAAAACATCATTTAATCAATAAGAATTCTATTCCTGTCTAATTTATTTTCATGTTTCTACAATAAAAATGAATTTGTAAATATATATATAAACCTTTTAGAATGTATGTTAACATTTTTAGGGACATAAAAACACAAATATCCTAATCCATCTATTACTTATTTCATTATTGATAATTTTACTATAAAAACATAACATTTAATGATTATATGAGCTATTTCTATGGTCAAAATATTATAAAATTATTAGTAATATAATTAAGATTCGAAGGAAATAAAAATAAAACAAAGAAATAATGGGGCAATATCTAAGCGCCCTAGTCGGCTCCTAGGCGGGCAGGCTAGGCGCTAGGCGGCTTGCATAATAATAATGATGATGCAAAACTAAACAAATTCATATAAAAATATATAGAACTATAATAATTAGATATGAAATATTATGGCTGGAATAATAACTGATTAATTATTTATGCTCACATTTTATAACTATATATTTTAGGAGGATTGTAAAAGAGAAAAGGAGGATTGTAAAAGAGAAAATCATTCCGTCATTTTTGGATTTTATTTAAATTTTAGGTGCTATTTTGTAGTGTTTGTTACAATCTAGCTAAGTATCACACATGACTCACCACCTTATTCAAAACGTTTCATTTCCATTCGGCTCAACTCTTTGTAGGTAAACTGAATACACCATTAATCATTCATTTGATCTATATGTTGATTACAAATATAATTAGGCACATGAAAGAAATATGATGGTTAATTACAATGCCTAGTATATATTCTAAATACATGGGAAATTTCCCTTACGCCTCCGATCGAGTCCATTCGAGTTTCAGCTCTCGGCTATGGCGTTGAAAGTGGTTCTACACTTTCCACCACAGCACCACATCCCTGTTCATTTCCAATACTTATCGTGGGGTAGCTATAAAGCTATTTGTGTCAATCGAGTAGGTAATTTTGGATTAGCTCCTCGGGTTTGAGGTTGTTGTACTCCCTTTAAGTTTTAACCATTTTTGCTTGTAATCTACAAAACAGATGGTTGAGAAATAACCCTACCCTTAGTAGGGTACCAAAGAACATGTGTATTTACAAGTCTTGGTTGCAATTGGCTATTACACTTTAGTGGCTAATCGCCTGACTAATGTCACAAATTCACCCGACCTAGCCTATCAAGAACAGTAGCAAGAGTGGATGGATGGCACTCACGAGAAAGGGATAAGTGGAGGCCATCCGATTGATGAAAACAACCCTATAAGAAAGGGAATGGGGCAGCCCCTCGGAATAATGCCTATAACTCGTATGGTGAATTGGACCGGAACTTTTCAACAGAAAGAGAAAGATCCTCGGCCTAAAGGAAGCAAGGTGAGGATAGAATAAGGAAACCTGCATTGTTTTGTATGAGATTCCTTCACACCTCTCAGTGCTTACACCCCTCGCCTATTCGAAAGAAGTTTTTGTTCTATGTGCAGCGATTTCAAAGAGAGTGCCGAAGATCTCATTATGACTAGATGATTCTAATCTCTTGTTTAGGGAAATGCACATCTAGTAAAATAACCCATTTGCTTACTCTTATTTAGAGAAATTTCTTTAAATACTATTGGAGAAACGTGCCCCTAATGTCTAATCAATAGATCTTTCCCTGGTAGTGCAGTGATGTAGCCTCTTTCTCGCTCTCAGGGGTCGCAAGTTTAAATCCTAGAAAAAAACAATCTATGCACCACTTTCACAGGTGCGCTTGTGGTCACTAATCTATGCAAAAGTCCTTTACAGCCTCCTTAATTGGCTCTTGTAAATATGGCATTACCTTTCTTAAATTGGCATAATATCCCTTATTCGAGGAAATAAGGTATTGTCTGATTCTTTATAGAAGGAATCAAAGAATGGCACAAATAATACTCCTCGGATTGCTATGGACATAAATAGGACTAAAAAATGGACAAAAAATTGACTACCATGAGGTCCGTGAGTATGAATAACCTCAAATGCTCCTGACACGTTTAATCATCTGCTCTTACCATCTCACACAAACATCTCCTCCTCAAGCGGACAACAGTCTCCAACCTCTTCTTCTCTTTTCTTTCTCGCAGACCATTGTTCTCGAAGATTAGATCTGAACGATCGCTGCTCGATGTGGAGCATCTGGCCGACATCGGTCTTATTCTTCGACGGAGTGATGATGTCGTGGTTAATTTGCCTATGACATTTACTGGCAGCGGCTGGCTACACGTTGGTGGAGATGACGGAGGCTAGGGTGTGGAGCAGTGGAGGATTGAAGGGATACTGTATATGCGCGCATGGGTGGAGGGAAATAGGGATATGAATTGGGGAATGGGACGGGCTAGGGTGGGACCAGGGGACAGGGGCAAGCGGCTGGGTAGGGGGGTGATGGGGTGGTGCACAGGCATGTAATGCAATGAGGGTTAGGGAAGGGGCACAACCAGTGCTTTGGGGCAATGGTCTAGAATGGAGTTATAGATTGTAGGTAGGAAGGGGTGCCGACAGGTGGTCGCCAGAGGTGGTTGTCAGCGGCGGTGGCGGAGGTGGTTGTCAGCGGCGGTGGCTGGAGGTGGTGGCTGGCGGAGGTCATTGGTGACCGGGTAATTGTAATTGATCGGTGGATAATTGTAACGGGTCAAATCAAGTAACTGTAATTGACGGGTCGGGTAATTGACGGATTGGGTAACTGGAACTGAACGGGTTGAGTAATTGTAACTGATGGATCGGGTAACTGTAACTAATGTGTTGGGTAACTGTATCCAATGAGTCATTATATTGTTGGTCATTGTGGTCATTGTGGTCACTGAGTCGGTAGTAGCTGAGACAGTGGTCACTGGAGCAGTAGTAATTGGGACGGTGGTTACTGGAACGGTAATAACTAAGACGGTGGTCACTGAAGCGATAGTAATTGAGACGGTAGTCACTAGAGCACTATTTTTCCCGATACTAGTACCATATCCAAATATTTTAAGACCCCAATGTTTTAAATATTTAAGACCCCAATGTTTCCATATCCAAAGATCTATCTTGAGATATACATAGTAGAGTGTGCAATGTTAGCTAGTGCAGTGAAGTGGTGCGTAGTGCAACACTGCAATGTTACGGAGTAAAGATGCTGGTAGTGTTGACTGTTGAACACTTGGAAAGGGTAATTTAGAAAAGTAGGAGTTTATTAGTCACATTTTTGAAAGTTAAAAAAAGAGGTCTCTTTTTTGTCAACTACCTCGTTTTAACTAATAATCATGTCAAAACCCCTTCTTTATATTCTGCCTGTAGGAAATATAGACCTATACCTATAAAAAGAACAATGTGTTTTTTCATTCTAATTATGTTGTGCTCATGTCTTGTTGTGGAATAACTTCAAGTAGCACTGAAAGATGAAATGGGAAATGTGAAATGAGAGAAACGAGTTTTTTTACAAAATATTACCTACGTCTCATTCAAAGGTTCCCATTGTAAAAATGACACGGTTATTTATATAATATTTAAATATGGTAATTCGAGTATATTTTGAGAATAATTTTGATGGTTATATAATATAATGTGTTATTATTGATGATAATTGTGATGTTATAGATGTATTATTTGTAATACTTGATGATTTATTTATCATTTAAGAGTATTAATTATTTCATAAAATAGAAATGAGAACCTTTAAACTGGATGTCCCAAAAAGAAAAGAGGAGTGGGAACCTTAGAATGGGACAGAGTATATGATACAAAACATTAGATGTTAAAAAATGTAAGGATACTTTTTTCATATGTATGTTTACATGCTTTTTTCGTACGTGTACAGAAAAAATGCGATATATATCTAGCAGTGCATTGCGTTGAGATCTGTCACAAAGACCATTTTGGCATTTTGCTAGGAAAAATCTCATAGAAGTCCATCAAAAGTTTTAAAAGAAGACGCTGGTGTCCATAAAAAATCCCATTAAAATCGGGAACTCAGTTTCTAAAGCCCTAATTAATTATGCAAACGAGTTAATGCTTTATAAAGAGTATCCATATTTTTTTCTTAAAATTTGTGCCGCTTGTCCCGTGGGTTTACACAGTCCAACTAGAGAATTCTTGTTTGTCAGATAAAAGAATTATTTATCCTCAAAAAAGTTCATTGCTTTATACTTGTTTACTGCAATTAATTTGGTGTTGACATTTGTAAATCGTTTATCCAGGGTCCTGGTGGCATTTGTATTAAAAAGACAGGTCAGAGCATACTCATTGGGATATATGATGAGCCAATGACCCCAGGCCAGTGCAACATTGTTGTTGAAAGGATTGGCGATTACTTGATCGAACAGGGCTTTTAGCTATTCAGGTAGGTCTCTCAGGTACTCTCTCCAACATTTTTTTTAATTTGAATTATCTTCCCATAATGTTATCCTTTGGTATCCCGTTTGTTCGTGCCCAATTTGTGTTAGGCCTAGCCCCCCAACTTGTATTTCTTTTCTCTTCATTATTAACGATAAATTAAGGTTCATGTTCCCCAATATATATATATATATATATATATATATATATAGGGGATGGTTCAAATACCAAGACCTCTTCCCATGCAAAGTGAGAATGAATCTTGTGCATTCATTTCCACATCTAATGGCTCAAAATGAGCCAAAAATGCACAAAATTCGACCAAATTTGCGGTGACAATTTTGTAAATATGTTGCATTTCTTCGTTATCGCGAAAAAGTGCAACATAAACACGCAAAAGTGCAAGCAAAACATGCAAAAGTGCATTTCTTCGCACTTTGCACGGGAAGAGGTATTTTTATTTGAACTCTTCCCTATATATATATATATATATATATATATATATATATATATATATATATATATATATATATATAGTGGTGCCGTTCCTGTCCGGAATTTTCTGATAGGAATGCCATCCGGCCTCCGCCTTTTGGGGTGGTTCCCGATAATATTTTTTGCTGAAATTTTTTGTGCATATTTTTCATCAAGTCTAGTTTATCCATACTAAATTTCAGCTAACAATTCCATCGAGAAGACAATCAAATGATTTTTGGTAGTTAACTGCGTTTTATATGTATAAACTAGTTGAAATTTGGTATGGATAAACTAGACTTGATGAAGAACATACATAAAAAAATTCAGCAAAAAATACCACTGGGAACTACCCCAAATGGAGGAGGCCGGACGTGGCTTCTTGTCCGGAAATTCCGTACATGAATAATCCTCTCTCTATATATATACATATATATATATATATATATATATATATATATATAGTAAAGGGTCAGTTTGATCCTCAAAGTTGCATAAAAGAGATCAAATAAGTCCTTATATAGAAGATTCTGTTCGGACGTGCCATTTGAGGCGGTTCCTGGTGGAATTTTTTGATAAATTTTTTTGAACATCTTATTCATTAAATATTGCTTCATCAGTCCCAAATTGTAAGATACATTTACTATTCACTTGGTCAACATAAATAACTCTTAATCTTTTACTTTATATATCAAAAGTTTATGAAATTTGAATTATTTTTTGCAGGTTTTGTAGCGGTTTTAATGTAGTTTCTGAATATGTAAATTTTATTTTCTAAAACTAATTTGAGTGTTGACATGGATCAATTTACTTTATCGTCGGTCAAACATCGTAAACCGTAAAATATCTTACAAATTGGGACGAAGGGAGTATTTACTCATACCAAATTTCAGCTAAACATTCAACCAGGAAGACATTCAAATGAATTCTTGAAGATAACTTCGCTTTTAACTGCACAATTATCTTCAGGAATTCATTTGAATGTCTTCCCGGTTAAATTTTTATCTGAAATTTGGTATGAGTGAACTAGACTTAATGAATAAGATGTTCAAAAAATTTCATCTAAACTTCCATCGGGAACCGCTCCAAACGGCAATGGCCGGATAGAACTTCCTTATTTGATCCCTTTTACGCAACTTCAAGGACCAAATTGATCCTTTACCTACACTCTCTATATATCACTAGAACCAGACCGTATGATAATATATGGCACATATCACCGACCTTCACATAACTGACTGCTTTGACTTGTTGCAGTGGTATTTTCACCTAAAGTGTCAAAGCGTAAGGTTTCTTGCTCTGGTGGCACGTAGCCGCATAGTGGTAAATGCAATTTGTGCCCCCCGGTTTCAACAGCCTTTTACCCTTCGACTCGATGTTTCTGCTTGAGGATGTGATGAATGTTATGTTTTTGTCTCTTTTTGTTGGATGATTTTGTCTCTTTTTGTTGGATGTGTGATGAATGTTATGGTTTTGTCTCTTTTTTCTCTGGTATTGGATGCCTGATTTGAATGATGTGCTTTAAAATGTGATATTGTATAATTTAATTTTCAAGCAATTTGTTAACTAATGAAAACGTTATGTGAGGTACCTTGGCAAAGAGAAATGATGGTTGTTAAGGTTTGTGCTGGGAGGGGGTAAAATGATGGAGGTTTGTGCTGGGGGGGGGGGGGGGGGGGTAGAATTATGGTAACCTCGTTGTTTTTGCATGTCAAGAAAGAAAGAGAAGGGCATTTGTACCTATGTTTAAAGAAAGAAAGAGAGCGACCTCGGAAAGATGACTGGGTCACACGGGTCAACCCTGATCCGGTGGGTCATTCTGGTCAGCACACACTGACACACACGCTCATTTGAAGGGCTTCCGGGTCCAATTTTTTGATGAAATTTTGTGAGCATATTTTCCATGAAGTGTCATGTTCATCAAATTTCAACTTAAAATTCAATTGGAAAGTTAGTTAACAAAATTATTGAAAATAACTACATATTATATGTATAAAAACTGTCCTTTTTTTTTAAAAACTGTCCAATTTTAAAAATTATTTATAAAAAACTGTCAAATTTCAGATTATAATTTGATCTGAAATTTGGTAGATATAATATACACATCATTAGGAGTGGATTCGGGCCGGGCCAATCGGCCCGGAACCAGACTGACCCGTTGCTGTGTGAGCCCGGCCCGGCCCGGTGAACCGGTTGGTTGCCAGGTTCGGGCCACCCGGCCCGGTGGGATGGCGGTTTGGGCTTGGGCCCTTCAAAAGGTGAACCGGTCCGGCCGGTTCGGGCCCGGGCCGGGCCAATATATATATTTTTTGTTTTTTGATTTTTTTAAATTTTTGGGTTGGGTTGGGTATTTTTTCCCATTTGAGGTGGTTAGGGTTGGTTTGGGGTGAGGGGGAGGGTTGTGAGTTAACTAGGAAAAGCCAAAAAAAAAAAAAAAATAGAACTGAGGCTCGGCCTGACCCGGACCCGGGGGTTACCTGGTTCCTGGCCTCCCCTTCATGAACTGAGGTCTGGCCGGGTCCAGGTCCGAACTGGGCCCGAACCGGAACCGGTCCATCCCTTCACATCATGGAGAACATTATCACAAACTTTCATAAAAAAATTCATCCCGGAAACCCTTTAACTTAGAGAGGCTTAAAACTTTAACTTTTAGCCGTTTAGGCTTACCATACATGAATATTTTCTTATATATATATATGAATATTATGTGGTTCCAGTGAAAAAGGACTCTCAGGAAAGAAATGAGAATGAATCTAGATCGTTGGATTGTATTATATGAAATTGAATTGTGCATTTGGTAAAATTGAAATGTGCATTACGTGAAATCGAAATGTGCAGAATGAAAAATAAAACTCAAATGTGCATTACATGAAATTGAAATGTGCAGAATAAAAGGCACAAAAATGCCACTACATCCTAGTTTTTATTCTGCACCTTTCAATTTCACGTAGTGCACATTTTAGTTTTTCATAATGCACAATTCAGCTTCACATAATACCACTATGCCTTACATTTTGTCCTACACATTTCGATTTCACCTAATGCACATTTCAGTTTCACTTAATGCACAATCAATTTCAAAGAATACAATCTAATGGTCCAGATTCATTCTCATTTCTCTCCTAAGATCATTTTCTCACTTGAACCTAATTATATATATATATATATATATATATATATATATATATATATATATATATATATATATATATATATATATATATATATATATATATATATATATATATATATATATATATATATATATATATATATATATATATATATATATATATATATATATATATAGGGAAGAGATCACATACAAATCATGCTTCCCGTACAAAATGCAAACTCGTCTTGTATGTTGAAATTGGGCAAATCAATGCTATTCATCTATTAACCACCGTAGCATTCAATGAGGTGAAATGCAGGGAACTAAAAACGATTGGATAATTGAGATGCACGATTAGTAAGCAAGGACAACAAAGTAAATTAACATTTTTAAAAAAATGAGCCGCATAATCTTTTATGGAATGAAATCCCAAAAAATCAGGTAATCCACCATTAAAAGTTCAACCACCCATTTATGTTTAGCAAATTTAAAAACAGAAACATACGGAGTTGTATGCAACTACTAAATTTCAACCACCCATTTGTGCATAAATTAACATCTGAGTTTTTAGCCATCACAAATTAAGGTTGCAATAGCATATCCAATTATTCTTGATTTTGGGAATTATTCACGTATCACTTTTCAAGAATTGTTCAAACTTTCACAAAAAGTAAAGGGACATTTATATACTTGATTTTAGGAATTATTCACTTCCTAATTAATCTTTCGTTTTTGAAACCTAAAATATTAGGGCAATGGAAGGTGCATTATATATTAATAACGTGGGCATAATTTAAAACTTCTAACATGTTAAGTTTGTAAGATGTCAACACAGGTAGAAGTGTGCACATTGAGGTTACATGATGTGCATATTAAGGTTACGAGATATGCATTTTATATTTATAATGTCTCTATAACTTATATTAGAACTACATAGTGATAAAATATGTTGACATTTCATTTTAGTAATTCATATATTGCATTTTATCATTATGACATATGCATTTTAGAAGTTCATATATTGCACTTTAGTAAGATGATATGTGCACTTTAGAAGTTCATATTGCATCTTATCGTTATCGCATCTGCATTTTAGTATCTCATATGTTGCATTTTTATCATTATGGCGTGACATTTTAGAATATCGTATGTTCCATTTTAGTAAGTTGAGATGTGCATTGTAGAAGACAATTTGATGCATCTTACCATTATGAAATCTGCATTGTGCACTCAACCGACATGCATACGAAATTCAGGGTAATGTACGAGAAACATCTTCTAAATGGTAAGATTTCGCATACTAAAAAAAGGTAAAATTTTGCAAACTCAAATCAAATGAACAATACATAAATACGAAATTGTTGAATTCGTATACAAACGAATACCATAAAAAAAATAAAGACATCCAGCATGTACAACGAACTCCATGGCGATGCCGGAATTTTATGGCGATGCCAGAATCCATGGCGTTCAAATAGAAGAAACCCAATCAGATTCTATTAAATTTGAGATGAACCGGAGATAGAGATGGAGATGGCATTGGGCACTTGGGCATAGAGATGGAAATGAAAATTGAGATGAAGAAGAAATGTGTATGCTACAAAGAGAAGTTGGGGGAAGGAGATACGTATGTTGAAGAGAGAATATGGAAAGATCGTGAATTTTTTTCTTCCCAAAATTAATACAAACCAAAAAGACTTTAAAGTCCCTCAACTTCTCAAATTAAATTGCCGTATCATATATTCAACACATAGGAGATCAAAGTAAATGGATGCCCCCGATTAGTTTGCACTTTGTAAATTAAGAGTAGTTTGTATATAATCCTTAATATATATATATATATATATATATATATATATATATATATATATATATATATATATATATATATATAAGGAGTGGATTAGGTGAGAAGTGTTTTTAGGCTGAGAACTGTGAAATTAAACTTATAGATTAAATATAGCAATTTTTAACCAATAAATCATAACTTATAGACCCCGTGAAAATAATTACGAAAATGCCACCGCAAAAAATAATTATGGAAACCTGGATTTTTTTTTGACACGGTGGTGATGAAGTATATGGCTCGGGGACCCCCGGCCCACGTACTTCCACTACTACATTCAGGCCCAATAGGCCCCAAACAGGCCAAGCCCAGCAAAATGAAGCTCTAAATAGCCCACAACACTCAAGGGGTGCCTTCGGCACCATGGCCGAAGGCTACCGTTGATATAATTGAACCCAGAAACATCACATGAGAACAAGGCTGAAAACAAGCCTTCGGCACCTATAGCCCTCGGCCAATGGAGCCTCGGCACAATAGGTATAGCCGAAGGCATCTTCCTCGACAGAATCTCCTCTCCACATGTGCCTGAATCACCGTACCAAGTACAACGTCACATCCAACCATCGCATTTAGTGCGGCCACATGCAAGTGCCGATGCCACCCCGATTGAGGTGACCCCTCAACCGTTAGATTGTTGACACGTGTACTCTCGTCGCATTTATTGCTGCTATAAATAGCAACCCCTTTCTCCATTGTAAACCACAACTTGAATAATATTCAGACACTTTCTCTCTCTTATTTGTTGCTCTGACTTCTCTCTAAGTTATTCCCACAATAACCCCTCGGATTAGATACCCCTCGGACACAATATCCATCATTTGGTGCTCTCGTTGAGAGGTCGAACAATCAAGTAAGAAACCCTCCCCTTCAGCTCAAAACACCTACTGTAATGGGAAGAACCACTCGTGCGCAGTCCAAGACCCTTGAGGACAACAAACTGGCCCTCGGCGAAGTTGACACCCCCGGAGCCTCCAACAAGGCTCCCGAGGGTGGAGTCATCGCTAGGTTGGAACAAGCTGCTGTTGACCTGCACCTTCAGCTCCAGCAAAACGCTCCTGATGCCCGCCTTGGCATCGAAACCCGAAGGAGGGACCGGAGCAAAAATCAGGTGAGCCCTCCGGTTCTCACTATTGATGTACAGTCGACATTTTCCGCCTTCATCCAAACACTCACCCAGAATCTAGGTGCCTTCCGCACGCTGTTACCACTTTAGCCGCAGGTCGGGGAGAACACCATTCCTCCCCCTCCCCCCTTCGTAAACCACGCCGAAGGGGTCATGGCCCAAGACACTGCATCCCAGGAAGTCCAATCCCGAGACAAGCGCAGTGCGAACAATGAGAGGCCTCGGACCTCCGCCCTCGAGAGGCTCGGAGGGGTGCAGGATCGCCGAGCGGTCCAAGACCGCCTCGATGGTAAGGCACTCCAAAGACCTCAAGAAAGCAAGGGTCGGTATCGAGGGCAGACGAGAGGTGTCCCCCTCAGGACAAAGGAAAGGCACCACTACATACCATGACATGAGACACCAAATAAATTAGGCCCACTCGGCCCATGTTCAATCGCAAGGGGTGGAGGCCCTCCCGAAGGATCACATGGATGAAATTATTGAGGCCCTCCAACGCTGCCTTGACGAAATGGAGGCTCGCCAAGCACATATGACCGCTTCCGCCTCGCAGGCGGACCCCAAATACACCACCATGCTGGCCAAAATGGAGGAAATGCAAAGAAAATTTGCCGAGGGCTCCGGGGAACCCATCATCCAACTACGGACTAGGACGCCATTTACCCTAAGGGTGCTGACGGCCCAGATTCCGAGAAAATACAGAGGGCAACCCATCAAGCCCTATAAAGGAAAGACCGACCCCCAGGAGCACTACAGCAGATACACGAACAACATGATAATGATGGGGGCATCAGATGAATATTTGTGTCGTTGATTCCTCTCCACTTTGGAGGGCCCGACATACGAATGGTTCAACCGGTTGCCCGAGGGCAGCATTGACTCTTGGCAAGAACTAGCTCAGTGCTTCTTGACACAATTCGCGAGAAGGCACCGGTCCAAGAAATACTTCTCCCACCTACTTACAATAACGCAACAGAAGGAGGAGACCCTTCAGGATTTCCTCAAGCGCTGGAGGCTAGAGACGGACAAAGTCGACGGCGCTGACGATAGGACCCTTATGGCTCTCCTGCAGATGGTCCTCCGTACCGGCAATTTCTCCAGGAGCCTTATTATCGAGCCTCCATGCGACTATATAGAGGCCCTCAAGCGGGGAG